TGTCTGTCTGTCTGTCTGTCTGTCTGTCTGTCTGTTTATTTATCTCTTACCTTTCTGTCTGTCTCTCTGTCATTCGTCTGTCTGTGTGCCAGCTTTTCTTTTTGCCAATCTATCGTTCTGCTGTTCTGTTGAGATAGGGGGGGGGGGACTACTAGACAAACATGATGACAAGCCATAAACTCCAACTGACTCTTATATTTCATTTCTCTGTTTGTGCTTCAGGTCCAGTGAGTCTTTGGGACTATGACAAGATGGAAGGACGGAGGAGGGGGAGGAGGACCGACTGCATGTCCCGGGGTGCCCTCTGCTGGGGATGGACATTGGTCATCTTGTTGCTGTCCATGGAGACCAGAGCCGTCTACGCCCTGGATATGTGGTGGTCAGTATTATTTGCGTCTTATCTGATGGTTGTGATATCGCTGTGACTTCATTTCCTCATAATGGCAAAGTTCTATCTGACATTTTGGGTTGTTTTGAATTATTAAGACAATAGAATCTGGAACCAAATGTTCTATCTGCTCTATCAAAATCGTGAGATTATTCAGAGTCGTAATCAATATATTCAAAGAATTGCATTCCTAAAAGCTTGACATGCTGTGGAACTCATATTACTTTTACGTCCAATTTCTAAAATCTAGGTACTGAGCAGATAGAACTTAGCAGTTCTAAAGCAGTGACTTATCGAAGCTTGTTGGCTTCGACATTCTAGGCGTTACGCTCTCGTAAACGGGAGATCGCGGGTTTGGGGGCTCAAGGCTCGATCGGGCCCAGTGTTGTGACCTTGGGAAAGGCACTTTACACGAACTGTTCTCATTTCTCCCAGATGTGAATGGGCACCCGGCCATAGACAGTGAAAGATCTTGTCAGTAGGTTACTGTCTTGGCGCCTGTGAAATGGCAGTTTACACAACATGCGTCCCAGGAAGTTAAGATTGTTTCAGAATGCTATCTGGTCTCCTGGGGTAATGATATAGATTGTTAAAGTGCGCAGCGCTTGCTGTTGAGCGGGAATTTCGCAACTGATTACATTATTTGATTGAAAAGTTTGGGTGGCCGAACCAACGTCAGGACACACACAC